ATAATGACCTATTTCTATAAAAATTGTAAGGATTATGTGTAAATTATTTTGTATCTGAGACACCAGTTCCATTCCAAAATATAAAAGTATAAAGGTTTCATTGTGTTTTTCTGTGAGTGAACATTTTGTAATAAATTAACAAGTTTGTACAACTTCCTCTGTCCCTTGTCCATCCATTCCCACATACATCGTTTTACTGGGAAACTGTTCTTTTTAATTCCAAGATGTTGAAGCTGGGCGTGGTGGCACACACCTTTAATCTCAACACTCGGGAGGCAGTGACAGGCAGATTTCTGAGTTCAAAAGTTCAGCCTAATCTACAAAGTGAATTCCAGGACAGCCAAGGCTACGCAGAGAAACCCTGACTCAAAGAAAGGGGGGAAAAAATCAAGATGTTGGAAGCTTTAGAAGTAACCTTTTCATTCAGCTTTCTGTTACTGTGATAAATGAATGGGATGATGAGCTTTACAGAAGTGGCTTCATGGTCTCAGGTCTGAGAGACTTCAGTCCATGGTCACTTGGCCCTGCTGCCTTGGGTCTGTGACAGCATAGAATATCATGAATGAGTTCATGGCAGAGCAGACCTGCTCACCTCAAGATGGTCAGGAAGCAAAGAAAAAAAAAAGGGGTCAGTGTCCCAATAAAAGGCACACCCCTGCTAACCAAAATTTATTCTGCTAGGCCCCACCTGCTAAAGGTTGTGCTATACTCAGTGGCTGAGGTTCAGGGTTTTGGCACACGGGCCTTTGGAGGGGCATTCAAGACCCAAATGCAGAATGGTGGGAACAAACAATAATTGGAATGGAGTTTCTTGAACTGCATCAGTCTGCCAGTTTCCTAAGATTAAAGCTTGTGACAAGAAAGCAATATTTCACTGGATAACAAAATGAGAACAGGGATAAGTTCCTGGGAACTTTTCAACCTTGTGAACATAGGAAACTTGCAGAAGAAACAGGGAGACATTCCCTACCAAAGCATTCATTCATTGCTTGCAGTTATACCCAATCAGGCCAGATGTGATGGACTCTCACTGCCAGCATCTAGACCAGTGATGCCAGCAAGGTAGGTGTGCCAAAGTATGTGTGAGATGTGCACACATATACACCATTGAGAGGGTAAACAGCATGTCCGAGGTCTTGATCAGCTACGGCCATCTCATTCACGAGGTTCAGCATGCTCACGTGAGTATCCTAGTGGTACTGGTGGTCTACACTGAGCGGTTCCAGGTTCTTGTTGTCTTGTTCAAGCAAACTAAAGCACACCCAAATAGAGAATTAGCAACAGTCTCCCTCAATAGCAGAGTAAATGTAGAGGATAGCTGTGAGTGAGCAGCGGGTGCCAAGCAATCTTTCCCTGGCTTACTTTGCAAAGTCTCATTCATTTTGTGGCCAGGAGGAGGGAGGAGTTGGTTGCCAAGGATGAAGCGTGGGTGGTTTTGTGTTTCCATTGATGAACTTAGGTCATGCAACCCTTTGTTCACTCAACATGTTCCTTCTCATGATGCACCTGGTTCTTTAATCATACGTGTGTCCAATCACGCATAGGCAGAGGATTGTAAATAGGCAATGTCCCCTGAAAGCTCACTCAATGGACATAGGTTGCCTCACTGCATGTGCTTTGAAAGCCAGCTCAGGCTGAGGGGGCTCACTGCCTGCACTTCTAGGACATATTCCAACATGTTTGACCACAAAGGGGGGAGCCCAAAAGGGTTGCTAGGGAGTTCCTAGGGGTTATTAGGAGTGACCAGCCACCTCGTTTGGAGAAGGTTGTACACACAGCTCCGTGCAGATGGGGGTCTCAAGTTGCTAAGCTGCCTGTGAAAACTTACTTGGGGGCCTTAGGAGCGCTCAGCATTTGGGAACCACCAAGATGATCTCTCCCTTTCCAAACATGGCGGCTACATGGAGCTATCTGTTCCTTCCAGCGCTCTACTGAGGTAGGTCTGTCTGTATGTTTGCCCTCTTCTGCAAAACGATGACGGCTTCCTCTTGATTCTCTAGCTGGGATCAATTTTGGATACCACGAGGTTGCTACAGACATGTATCAGTGTTTGCTCTATGCCTGAGGGCGGGGGTGGGGTAGGTAGTAAAAACAAAATATTTTACATCCACAGAGAGGAACATTTACTTTTTGAAAGAACTTGAAGTGAGTCCTGTTTTTAAAACACGAAGTCTGGATGGAACTCAATAACCTATTTTTTTTTAACTTAATATTGTCTAAGGTTTAGAGATCTGGTTTTTCTGGAAAAGAATTTATAGTTTAATTGTAGTCATACTTTAATTGGTGGTTATACTCCTAAGTGGAACAAGATTGTTAATGGAGCACAGTGTATTCATTACCCTAAGACTGTCTAGCTGGAAGCCATTAAGAGAGGGTGGAGTATGTTATACTCCTAATTTAATTTAGCTCTGCCTGAATTTTACACATGTTCAGAATTTGGATAAACTTTAAAAAATCTCTTATTGTGTAATATTCCACTAAATGCATGCATCATGGGAATTGTAATCACTGAGCTCTTCATTCATTAACTTTGCTCATTAAAAGGCTATTTTGCAACCACATCTTTGTTCCAGAAAAACCATGACCCTAAGTGTCAAGATTGAGTGTGACCCCAGATCACTTATTACAAACCAACTAAAATTGTAGCATATTCTGTCTCTAAAAACTAAAATGTTGCTTGTACAAACAACATGGTAAGTTGTTACTGTTGTTGGGTTTTTTGTTGGTAGTGGTGGGTTGTTGCCCCCCCCCCAGACAGGGTTTCTCTGTGTTGTTTTCCAGTCTGTCCTGGAACTCCCTCTGTAGACCAGGCTGGCCTTGAACTCACAGAGATCTGCTTGCCTCTGCTTCCCGAGTGCTGGGATTAAAGGCGTGCACCACCACCGCCCAGCTTCCTGATATTCTTTTTTTTTTTTTTTTTTTTTTTGGTTTTTCGAGACAGGGTCTCTCTGTGGCTTTGGAGGCTGTCCTGGAACTCGCTCTGTAGACCAGACTGGTCTGGAACTCATAGAGATCCACCTGCCTCTGCCTCCCGAGTGCTGGGATTAAAGGCGTGCGCCACCAACGCCCGGCTCCTGATATTCTTTTTTTTTCTTCTCGAGACAGGGTTTCTCTGTGGCTTTGGAGGTTGTCCTGGAACTCGCTTGGTAGTTCAGGCTGGTCTCAAACTCACAGAGATCCGCCTGCCTCTGCCTCCCGAGTGCTGGGATTAAAGGCGTGCGCCACCAACGCCCGGCTCCTGATATTCTTTTACAAAAAAATAATATGAATTCAAGATTAAAATCTGGTGCTTAAAGTGAAACTAGGAGTGGTGTCGGGTAATTGTGCTATTTCAGTTCCTGTCATGGTTCATTCTGTGGGGACACAGCTGAAAGTGTACACAGCCATGCAATGCTCAGTGACTGCAGTCACCGATGGAAAGCATGGTACACACCCACCACACAGCTTAGGTTTGTAATAGACTAAAGCACATATGTATGTACACACTACCGCATTTTCACAACCATGAAGATGGTCAGTGACATGTCTCTAAGAATGTCTGCTGCTAATAAGAGACACACACAAGTCACATTGATTTTGCCTATCTCATAGAGCATACGTTGTGTGATAATTTACCTTTCTAATGCAATTCTTATCCAATATTGTCTTTCTCCTAAACTGCCATCTCGCGTAAAGTTACTCGTGAACCACTGATTTTTCATTTCAAATGCCTTTCTTTCTTGGTTCACTATGTGATGACTTGCTCAAGACTCCATCTCTGTTGTATCATAGCAACATCCTCCTCACCAATCTCCCAGGCCCCATCCTTTTGGACCCTTTCTCATCGCCAGGCTCCTTTCCATTTTTGTAGTGGAGAAGTGTTAGTGCTATTAAGTTCAGAGCCTGCATGTCAGCAAATGTTCTATCACTGAACGACATCCCCAAAGTAATAGTTTCATATTCCCTTCAACCCCCCCTTTTCCCTCTCACTCTCTCAGTCTTTACTCCCCCCTCCCCCCTTCTCCCCTACCGTTGGATCAGGTCTCAATGTGTAGCCAAGGTTGGCCTGTGTAGCCTACGCCTCAATTCGCTATCCTCCTGCCCCACCCCGAGTGCATCACTCTTGACTTCCTTTTAGAAATGTTTTTTTGAGTGGCTCTGCTTAGGAGACTGCATTGGAATTTCCTGCAGCTCAGCCCAGCATTTCTGTACCAACCCGAATTCCCATCGAATCCGTTAGTGGTTTGCACCCCACAAAGAACTGGAACAGAGCCCGTCCACGACTTTCCTCCTAGCCCCAAGGTGAAGTCTTCAGATACTGTGAGGTAAGTTTAGCCCACTCTCACTACTCCTGCCCATCCTACCCCTCAGGCAGACCTCAAACTCGCTTGTAGTCAATGATGACCTTGAACTCCTGATCTCCTGACTCAACCTACAAAGTTCTGGGATCACAGGCATGCACCACCACACTTGGCTGAGGACATTTCTTTGTGAGATCCGAGAGAGCGCGTGCGCGTCCACCCCCAAGTTCTGCCTTTGGGGAATCTGTGTGTACAGCATCCCTTAGCCAAAGTTTCTGGCTGAGACGTCTCTGCCTGCCTGTCTTTTTTGTCTGTGAGATTCTGAAGCGTGCCATCGCTGAAATCCCAATGGATAGGCTGTTCGGACTTGTTTGGATTCGGGAATGTTTCCAAACGGAAGTGCCTTGCATTTACCTGGACCTTTCCGACTTAGAAAACCTCTTTGGTTATGGTCTCAGTCATACCTGGGACGTTCTGCAAGCACATCACCTAGCAGATTCAATAAGTTTAGATGAAATGAGTGAGTGAACCCGAAAAACAGAAGAGCGTCTTCCTTCCTGACCCGGCTTTCCGAGGGTTCAGATTTAAATCCCACCCAGAACGGACAGCACGCGTTTACTGTAGACGCTCAGAAGACTGGCAGCCTCGACCCCGCCCCGGCCCCGCCCCATGCCGCTCGCCCCGCCCCCGACGCGCCGCCTTTACGTCACAGCCTACCCTCCCATCTTCCCTCGCCCCACTTCCTCCTCCCCGCCTCCCGACCCGGAAGTTCTAGTTGTGACCCGGCTTTCCTTCCCACAATCCCTCACGCCCTTCCTTTCCAACTTGGGCCCGGCAGAGTGAGTATGGCGGCGGGGTCCTGGCTCTAAAATCCAGCTCCATCCTCCCTAGGCGCGGGGCAGGCCGGCTTGGGGGGATTTGTTCCGAGGTGACCGGAGACTCGGCGGTCCGGGGCGGTAAGGCCTGCGCTGGCCGAAGGCTCTGGGGCCGAAGGAGGACCGTGGCGGGGCTCCGCTCGGAGCCGCAGAACCCGGGTTCCGGGGTCGGGAGTGCTTGGATCGGCGGGGTTGGCTTTGGACAGCCCCGGCTGGATTTGAGTGCGGGGGTCAGCTCGGGCTTTCCCCACTGCTTAGAGCCTCCCTGTCGCCCGCCTTTCTAGATGGCTCCCGCAAAGAAGGGTGGCGAGAAGAAGAAGGGCCGTTCTGCCATCAATGAGGTGGTGACCCGGGAGTACACCATCAACATCCACAAGCGCATCCATGGCGTGTGAGTATTTGGCGGGCGGCGAGCCCCTTCCGGGCTCTGGCTGTCACTGTCGAGCCCTGCCTAACGGCTTACAGGCGGGTGCCCTGGGAAGCACGCGGCTTCGGTCCTGCTTGGCGTCTGGTCCTTTGCGGGTGGGCAGGGTTTGGAGTGTACGGGGCCGGTTAGCAACTGGAAACGGGAGGTTGTGTTTGCACTTTCGGGATTAGTGGACCTTGGAAAGCTTGGTTGTGAGTTTCTGTAATCTGGACGCCTGAAAGCAAGATTCTGGAGAGAAACCTTAGCTAACATCTCTGGGTTGTAAGAAATGAGCCAGTTGCGAATTGCTGAGCTCCAAGCCAAAACAGATTGGTACTAATACGGTCGAGTTGTTGTGCTGGAACTGGAGATGCCGAGGGAGAGAGGCACGTAGGTTTCCCGAGTTACAGCGCAGTGCGTGGTGAAGACCCACGGCGATTCTGAATTTATAATAAAGAGACGGTTAACAGAGGGATGCACCCCCTGGTTTATGTACATACTTTAGATGCCAGCGCGTAGAGCAGGGTTTCTTGGACTAGGCTGTTCAGTCTCTTGGTGACAGATCTTGCCGGGTCGAAGTGTAGTCGGCATTTCTGTGTTGTCCTGCTGTGTGAGTGCTGCTGTGACCAGCCTCATTGCGTCCCTCTGGTTGAGGCCCATTGAGCACTGCAGGGTGCTGCACATACAGGTGAGAAAGTTGGGACCCTGCCGCCATACTAAGAATACCTAGGCGGGGGAGGTAGGCTTTTTGGGTTTTTTTGTTTTTCGAGATAGGGTTTCTCTATTGTTTTGGAGGCTGTCCTGGAACTCACTCTGTAGACCAGGCTAGCCTCGAACTCACAGAGATCTGCCTGCCTCTACCTCCCAAGTGCTGGGATTAAAGGCGTGTGCCACCAACGCCAGGCTAGGTGTTTTGTTTTTTTAAGCGCCCTGTGTGTTGGGGAGTAGTGAAAAGGTTGCTCTTTAAAAGCCTTGACTAGAACGTTGTAGAAGTGAGCATAGGGTTTGGTGGGCATGCTTTTCAGGCCTGTGTACTTTGTTGCAAAGGCCCTACGGGCAGATCTCCAGCCTCCTTCATCCTTCGGTAATAATATCCTGGTCCCCCTTATTTTCCAAACTGAACGTGCTCCCTGCTGTTTTCCTCTTGTTTCATTGGTAATTGCTCCAGGGTGACTGATTAAGTGGTGACAGCAGCATCTTGTTTCCATTCCCTGATCACAAAACTGAAATTGCTCATGCTCCATCTCTTCCTGGTGTGTCCTTGATACTTGTAATTGATATCACCTGATGGGTTACTTTCGTGAGCTGGGTCCGTTAGACTAGCTGCTTTTATTTTTTACCTCCTTTTCCCTGATAGATTGTGAAGTGGGCTTATTTGGGCTACACACACAGTCTGATAATGAGTAGAGTGGAGAAAGCAGTCTGTCTCGCTTAGGTTGACCTTGGCTGACTGAAGGGGCTGGACACCACTGGGCTTTTGGATTTGAAGTCGAGGTCTTCCTGCCCAGCTTCTGATGTTGTGGTTATTGGCATGCACCATCGCCATGCACTAGAGAATTAGGGATTTATTTACTTTATAAAGACAGGGAGAGGCTCACACTGAAAGCATAAAATCTGGGTAAATGGCTCACTTGGTTCCACAGAATGTTGCCTTCCTCTCTACTTGTTTTGCATGCGTGTTTGTGTGTGTGCTTCATATAGATGCCGGGAACCAAATGTGAGTCCTCTGCAGGTGCAAGTATTCTAAACCACAGAGCCATCTCTCCAGGCCGCAGCATTTCAGGGCTTCTGTGAAAGTAGACCATGTTTGTGAATAAGTTGGGAAAGCATGGTATCTTGTGCTTGGATGGTGGGATACTTGGTATTTATTTTGACATCTTGTTCCAAGTACTGATGCATGTTGCTGGACATTATTTTTATGCTTGTAAGGAGGGTGCTTCTGCCTAGTTTCTGAGGGCATGCCATCTATTAGGGGTAATTTGCTTTTCTTCGATCCTTGTCTTGCACCTCAGGGGCTTCAAGAAGCGTGCTCCTCGGGCACTCAAAGAAATCCGGAAATTTGCCATGAAAGAGATGGGAACTCCAGATGTGCGCATTGATACCAGGCTCAATAAAGCAGTCTGGGCCAAAGGAATAAGGTACTGGAGCTATTGTTACAGTGTTCCTTCTACACAGTCCATGTGACAATTTAGGTAGTTGGGTTACCAAATGTGGAGTATAAAGATACTAGCACAAACTCTAAGTTAGTGTCCTTTGTTGTAAGGGAGAAGTGTTAGAGCTTGATGAGATCTGGGGAGAGACTGGGACCTAGAAGAGTTCCACTGGGAGTGTGAGAAACTCAGAAAGCAGTGTTTCTGAGCCTGGGGTGCTGACCAGCCCTAGGGGAGGCATCTTTCTGCTTCCCAGAAGGGTTGATTTGTGTCTTGTAGTGTAACATGAGAGGGTTCTCACAGGTTTATCTAACTTGACTGTACATATTTTAAAGTAGGGCTGTGGTTTAGGGGTATATTAGGTTATCCAGCAGGAAACCACCCAGTATCTGCTTGAGAGGTAAGGGGAGTGGTATCCCAAGGGTGTGGAGAAGCCTTATTTGTAGTAACTTGGAAACTTCTAGCTCATCCTGAGAGGATAAGGGAAGGAGATACATCGATTACAGTGTTTCTGTAGGGGCCTCTGTGTCTTTTATTTGAATTCATGCTTATTTCTGTTGGTGACCACCTTGATGTATCCTAACAAGCATGCATTGTGAGGTGGCAGCTTGTTGCTCATTCACCTGGGCATATTTCTGAGGCCAGATAAAAGCTTGTTCATTAGAGCACTGGAATCAGGAATGGATGTGTGAATGCCACTGGTAGCTGGTTTCTGACAGGAATCATTGACCTTAGCAACACATTTATATTCTTATTAGGAATGTTCCATACCGTATCCGTGTACGATTGTCCAGAAAACGTAACGAGGATGAGGACTCACCAAACAAGTTGTACACATTGGTAACCTACGTGCCTGTTACCACATTCAAAAGTAAGTTTCTTGCTGTTCGACAAAGATGTTGAAATTATAGCAGAAAAAAATTGTTCGTCAAATGTTGTATGTCTTTTCAGTGAAGAGATGAGTGACAGGCAAAATGAGACCTTTAAAATGTGTTGATGTGGGGGGAGTGCAAAATAGAAGAGGTTCCTGACATTAGAGTGTTGTGCAGGTGCTCTAAAGAGATGGGGTCATGTGCCGATGTTGACTTGCTGTCGCTTCTTCCTTCCAGATCTACAGACAGTCAATGTGGATGAGAACTAACCTGCTGAATGTCAAATAAAGTTGGAGAACTGCCTTCAGGGTTTGGTTTTCCTTTTTGTCTGCCCCACCGGTGGAATGTTTGGTACTGTTTAGGATAGGATCTAAGGGGTATTGTTGGGAGTTGTTTAAGAACTGCTGCTCTGGGTATGTACTTTCCATAGGAATCATTGTGTTGGAATTGTGGGTTTTGGTTTTTCAAGACAGGGTTTCTGTTTCTCTGGGCAGCCCTGACTGGCCTAGAGTGTGCTCTTTGTAGACCAGGCTGGCCTGGAACGCACAGATCCGTGGATCTCTACCCCCCAAGAGCTGAAATTAGTGGTGTGCACTGCCATGCCTGGCTTGTGGCTTTAAGAAGCTATATATAGTGTTAGGTCTCAGTTTAGTTCCAGGTATATGTGAGCCTAAGACTGAGGTTATAACTGTCACATGATACTGAACATTTGTGTTGCTTGGGTCCTGGAAATTGAACTTGGGTTGTCAGCCTTGGCCTTCTAGTTGTCTTTGCCAACAAGTCCATTCTCTTCTCTATACTCTTAGGAAAGTGATTTGTTCTTCAGACAGCTTCTCTGGGACAGCTCTGTAGACCAGGCTGGTCTAGAATGCAGCAGAGATACACCTGCCTCCCGAGTACTGTTGTTTTCTGGGAGTTTTATTTTTTAAAAGTCAGTACAAAAAGAAAGATTTTTATTAAAAACCTTGGGGTCCAACATTGAAAGCATGGTTTGTACATGTTTTTGGAAGGACATACAAAGAGAATACAACGAAATATATTAAAATGGTTTCAATTACCAGCATTGAAACAAAATTAGTGCAAAAAAAGCCAAATACAATTGTGCAGACAATAGTTCTGGGATCTTAGAGGTGAGCTTGTTTCTTGAGCTCTCCTGTTACCAGTGGAAAATGAGCCTGGGGTTGATGGTCTCTTATTTGCTATAACATTTTTTTTTGTCCCATCAAAGAGTAAACTCATACATACCAGGATCACAGCAAAAACACTGGTTTCAGCGAAGTTGATAGTCACAGTGTAAAGGGCATTCCACCTCTGACTGTCCTCTTAAGAATAAATAGAACTATGAGAGTTGCAGCAATTCCCCTGGCCTTGGGTCTGAGGTTGTTTATGTACAGATGCAGCTCACAACAGAGTTCCCTGGTTTTAGACTGAAATCTGGACAGTGACAACAGTCCAGGCCATGCTTTGGTGTGGTAGGCTTCAGTGTGTTCCCAGCAAACTCCTAGCTACAGGTTATTCAGCTTCAGTTCAGGCTGTGGCGAGTGGCTCATGTCCAAAGCTTTTAGACTGTACTGGTTGAGCTTGGCATTTTCAAGTTTGGATTTAATGTTGAGTGGCTTTTCAAAAAAGTTTACCAGTGACTGCTCAGTGAGAAGCGAGGCCAGGATATGTTCCAGGGAGACAGTCCAGTCCCCTTCATCTGCCTCAGGAAAGGCCCTGGGGTCCTGGGGAGTCTTCCCAGTCTCGGCAAAAACGGAGTCCTGTTCAGGAGAGGGAGCCGAGGCCTGCAGCTCCTCACCACATTCCTGGGAGCAGCTTCCTGAGCTGCTGCTTCGCTGGCCCACTTCTCCTATCTGCAGCAGCAGAGTGGTTACTGTGGCAATGGCTTGGTACAGGTCGTTTTCCTCCGGATCTTCGTGGAACATACTGTACAAAGTTTTACAGAACTGGATAAATTCTCTCTAGAATTTAAAAAAAAGCAGTTAGTTTTCGTGTGAGAGAAGCTCACTGTTTTAAAACTGTCCTGCAACTTGTTATTTTCCTACCTCACCAACACTGTCCACTGGTCATCTGCTAGTTCCTGGTTCCATAATATATGAAAAGCCAGGTTGTGTTGCTTGTGAGAGCTTGGGGTACATATGCAGTCCTTGTTCCAGCGTGTCTTCCCCAATATCCAGAGCTACACTTGGTTTTTATTGGAAAAACAGCCTGTGCTGCATACCTTTAAACCCAGTGCTACAGGCAGGTGGAGGTCAAGGCAAGCTGGGGCTACAAAAAATTGCCATAACTTTCAATGATTTGGATGAAACCCACAGTTTTACGAGGGCAAAAGTAAGGTGTCTGCCATAACTTGTTTACTTTGTATTGAGTATTGTGGAGGGGTATTGAGTAGAGTAGGTAAATAGAAAGTTTAACATCCATGTAAAACTGGGAGAACCAAAGACTGCCTACTTAGCCTGAGAGACTTGAAGGAAGTAAGGTAGAGGACACCCATTGGCCTTCATGCCCATCTACTCATGCTTTGAAAAACAGGCGTAAAGCCGCTCAGCACAAGGTTCCTAACTTTAAAGTCTACATTTCTCACACATTAAACCTGCCGTTACATAGCACCTACCCCTTTTCTGGGTAGTATGGGAGAGTTGAACATCATTTTGCAGCCTCCTGTGTTGAAGAGGTGACTGCTCTATGAAGTCTGTGCACCCAAGCTGCCAAAATGGTTTGCTTCTTTTTTTCCCCCAAAAGAAGTCCTTACCTGACTCATTTTGGGCAACTCTTTCTCCGTTTTATCCTTTTCTTTGGCTAAATCCTTAATCATCTGTTTCAATTGTTTCTGATAATCAGCTGTGTCACCTTGACAGAGGGAAAAACAGTTTAAATACTATGAAAATAAAATTGGGATAGTGAGGAACGGGGTCCCACTAAGCAAATTTCATAAAGCCCTAAAGGAAGGGATTCCTGTCAAGAGCTAGTGGCATCTTACCTTGCCAGGGGACTTGTGGTGGTGACCTGACCCTTTATAAGGTAGAAGAGGGGCTGACTCGCAGAAGACTGCATCTTCCTGAGCAGGAAGACCTTGGCAGTTCTTACTCTTATCTAAGTGTTTCCTTAATACCTATTTTTTTGGACTGGAGAGATGGCTCAGAGGTTAAGAGCACTGACTGCTCTTCCAGAGGTCCTGAGTTCAATTTCCAGCAACCACATGGTGGCTCACAGCCATCTATAATGAAATCTGGTGTCCTCTTCTGCATGGAGGCAGGATGTTATATTCATAATAAATCCTTTAAAATATACCTATTTATCTTGGGTCTAGTAGACTCATTTAAACCCTGCCTTCAAAGAACCCTAGAAAAATGAAAGCAGCAGAAGGGACTCTGGACAGGGCAGTCCAGCAACACTGGCCATGGATTGAGTGGTAATATGAGGGAGGGGACAGGCTGCTAGAAGCCGATAGTGAGAACAGATACTTGCCATTGGGTTTACCCAGTACCAGGGGTCGTGATGTTGACAACAGAGGATTCTTCAATGGGGACTGGCTGTCTCTGTCATTTTCAGTGAGTGCTTAAAAGAAAAATATTTATGTAGACGTTATATGCAGACTGCTGATTTTAACCTGAAAAACGCAAACCCTTCTGATACTATAAAGAAGTTGACAATTGACTTAATCAGTACATAATTGATATATTTAGCTACTGTAAGTGGGGAGGGTGTTGAGAGGTCTTTACTGTAGGCTCCTACATAATGTAGGTTTTTAAGTAGTGTTGCCTTCCAAGGACCATACTGACATTTGGGTGGGGGTCGTTTCGTAGCTCTGGCTGTCCTGTGAACTCCTTTGTAGACTCAGATCCTTCTGCCTCCTGAATGCTGGGGGTTTTGTTTTTGTTTTTTTAAGTATACTTTAAAAAACCAGAAGTTCCACACATAGCTAGTTGAAAAACAATCTGGTGTTTACCAAAAATTTCTCTAAATGGTGGTTTATGCCTTTAATCCCAGCTGAAAATGCAAATTCATAGGAACTTCTGATGCCAAACTGATAGAAACAGCAACTACAGAAGCACAGTAGACTCATTTGGCCAGGACTGATGCTACAACATGTACCAACTGCACACAATTATCAGCAGACAATAGTGGCACACAGCATATCCATTTAAAACACCTGGAATAGGTTTCAGGAACATGGGATGGTCCAGGGCAAGGGGTTTCTTTTTAGGGTGATGGGTGATTATAGAGTCATTGCGTTGGACTTAAGGTTGACAAAAGTGTTTGTAAAAGACTGGAACCTAGGATAAAAGATGTGATTTAAGAAACTTCCACAAGATGGCCCCAAACAACTATTTGGGATGGTAACTCAATTGGCCTAAAATTTTAGGCAGTGGTACCTGAGTCCACTCAAGGATAGGAAACTTATGGAGCCTGACTGGTTGGGAAGAGAAAGTACATAGAATAGTGAAGAGCCTGTCCCAAGGAGAACTGAATGCACAGCCACTAGGAAAATGTCCTGGAAGACCCAGTACATGTAACTGTAATGGTAGAGAACTGTGCTGAAGAACACTCAAGGAACGTGGCCTTGTTTTTATATTTCCGTATATGTGAGTTTATTATGTAAGCTTATGGTTCTACACTAAATGGATGGAAGCATTTCTACAAAGGGGTTTCACTTGGTTATTTGAACCTTGCCATTCCAGACTTAGTATGATAACCTTGTCACCTCTGACACAATGAATAGGAAAATTCACAAAGATGGTGACAAAATAACTTGGGGAATGGGTGACATACCAAAAGAGTTGGCTCCAGCACAGCTAGGACTGCAGCTCCCCAGTGCCTCACCTAAATGTAAGCTAGGTGGCCCTGGGCCCGCCCAACTAGCTTTGCAGTGTATGACTTTGATTTGCCCCATTCACTGGAGGAGTGACTATTGCACCAAAGCCAGCAACTCAGTGTACTGTTGTGGCAAGTCCTGAAGTATAGACAGCTCTGATGGGTACCAGACACTTGTCTAGTACAGGCTCAACACCAGCATGTTTTTATGTGTCAACTTCACAGTCTGGGATCACCTGGGAAGTGTGTCTCCATGAGGAATAGTCTGGATTGAGCTGGCTGGTGAACATACCTGTGAGTGGGAAAGTGAACGGAGCCTCAGCTTGTGGATAAGGTGTTATAGGTCTGGGTTCTGTCACCACACAGTGATGACCTGTCTGTTTTCACACCCCCCCACCCCCCCAAAAAAAACGGTTTCTCTGTGTGGCCCTGGCTGTTCTGGAACTCAGATCTGCCTCCCAAGGATAAAAGCATTTGCTGCCACTGCC